GATGTCCTTGCCTTTGCTATTATTCCCTGCTGCTGCTGCTGTTGCTGTTGCTGCCACCATCATCACTGCTGTTGTTTCTGCTGCTGTTGCAGGTATGCCTAGCTCCGGAAGGCCTTAACCAGCGGCAGAGATGGAGCAAGAAGCTACCGTTACATCTCATTCTGGACAGTGATGTTCAGTTCTCCAGCCAAGAAGGTACAGTAGATACAGTAGATGCAGACAATTCCTTGTGCTGCCTGGTCTTTGAAAGACGTTATGTCTTACCTGGATGCAGTTTGCAATGTTTCAATTGTGGGTGCTCCTTTCACCTGACGCCAATATCCGATCCTGTCCGTATCCTGCTGTTGAGGGTGGTTGGCGTCTCGTTGTGGCACGGCTCGGTGCCCATCCAGCTTGCTGCTTGAGCGTAGCCCATTGCATGTATGGCCAACGCCATTATCTTTCCAAGTCTGAAGAAAATGTTGAACGGTCTCTGCTGGTATGACAGCCACACCAAGAGGTCAGTGGTTAGAGCATCGCTGGGCTCAAGCAAAGGTTCCCGGTTCGAGTCCCGGTGGTGACAGTCAAAAACACTTCTTCAGACGTTTCCCGTTTAGATCTTTCCCTCAAGCCAATGAATACTGTTATACTCTCCGTGCGCTTTCTCTACCCGGTCGGTGTGCTGAGGGTGCTCAATACTGCTGAGCCAGAGCCTAATACACAGAGCAGCAAAGGGCTAGTTTGCTGCTACCCTGAGTTTTATGCTTGTGCGATCATCAGGCAACACCTGTTGTTGTTCTATGTGTGCTTTCTCCAGATATTCCTGGTGCAGTGTCGAAAGAAACAGGGAGCGAGGGCGAGCAAGAGCAAGCAGATTCTCACACTGGCCAACGCTCGTCTGTCAACTCGCACGAGTTCTTTCTGTTCGCTGGCACTGGCCGTGTGAAGCAAGATTGGTACATGCGTCTGAAGCTGGCTGCCGATCCGAGTCTGGTTGCCAAGAACCTTGCCAGCGTGCCATCCGAGCACAAGGATTACGCCAAGTAGGGTACTTGCTGTGTGTGGCTTTGTGTGCGTGTAGGTGTCTGTGCATGTTTGCGTATGTGTATGTGTGTGTGTGACTGTGTGTGTTTGTTTGTGTGTGTATGTGTGTGTGTCTGCATGTGTGTTGCGTTTGTTTGTCTGCTGGGTCTATGTTGCTATAGTGTTGGAAGCAGTCTGACTTGTTGCGTCTCTAGTCCGGTAGTTTTATTGTTGCCAATGCAGGACGCTCGTGGTCTCACTAAGCGATGTTCACAACTGGCACGTGTGCGTGTTCTGTTGCCTTACTAAGCGTTGTTCACAACTGGCTTGTGTGCGTATATTGCTGTCTTTTCAGACATCGTGCGTATTAATAGGGCTGAGTTGAAATTTCCAAAATGTATATTCAGCGCTTGGCGAACGAACATACTGGCTCACTCGCCGGTCAACTGCTCGAGTGACGAAGTCCGAAAAGTAGTGTGTTTGGACATCATATATCCCTGTGTTCTGTGAAAACTTGCAACTGGGTCTGGGCACACGTGAACTAACCGGAAAAGTAAGGCATTCATGCGTCAGTATTGAACACGGCTTTATGTTGATCTCTCTGTCTATCCATCTATCTATCGCGATCTACATCTCTCTCTCTCTCTCTCTCCCTCTCTCTTTGTCTCTCTCTCTCTCTCTCTCTCTCTCTCTCTCTCTCTCTCTCTCTCTGTCTATCTCTCTCTCTCTCTCTCTCTCTCTCTCTCTCTCTCTCTCTCTCCTCTCTCTCTCTCCCTCTCTCTCTCTCTCCTCTGGCTCTCTCTTTCTCTCTCTGGCTCTCTCTCTCTCTCTCTCTCTCTCTTTCTCTCTCTCTCTCTCTCTCTCTCTCTCTCTCTCTCTCATATATTTCTGGTGTCACCACAGGTACATGGACTTCCTGCTCATCCACCTACACCCGACCCGCGCCAGCCGTTTCAACTTCTTGCGCAACGATGCCATAATGACGGAGACTGAGGTACGGCGCATGGTAGCCGAAACTGCCGAACACAATGCATCTGTGGCGTCGCTGGGCTCGGCAGCGTCCTATGGTGGATCCGTGACATCGTTGACCTCTGTCGGCTCTGCTGGATCTTCTGATAGGCATGATGTCGCACCGGGCTCTGTGGGAAGCTCATCATCTATGTCGCGTCAAACTTCGCACTCGTCTATTTCTGGTTCTGTTGGCAGCTCAAGTGAGTTGTTTTGTGTGTGTGTGTGTGTGCGTGTGTGTGTTTGTGAGAGAGTGTGCGTGTTTGTGTGTGCGCATGTGCATACGTGCATATGTGCGCGTGTGTAAATAATTGTTTTCGTGTACGCTCGCTTGAAGCTCTGGATTTGGGCCGGGACGCTCATAGAGAGGCCGTGTTTCACGATGCACGACTGTAGTGCTGAATATCTTCCTTCTGTCTGTCTGTCCTCACCCTTCCATTTGCAGAGACACCGGGCTCTGGCATCTTACCCGACCCGAGGCACAGCCTCCGCGCCGGCTCACTGCTCTGGTTCAATGCCGCTCTCGGTCGCCTCTTCTACGATGCGTGGAGAGAGCCACGCTGGGCGGAGAAGCTGCGCGTGCGCTGGCAGAGGAAGCTGTCCCGTCTGAAGACGCCCTCCTACATCCGGCAGCTGAACATGACCGAGCTGCATCTCGGCAACAGCATACCGCTGGTGAAGAAGTTCAGCCAGCCGAGAATCGACAGCCGAGGTCTCTGGATCGACGTGGGCATCTCCTACAAGGGTAACTTCCATGTAAGTCAACTCACCTTGCAAGCAATACATGTATATGTACTCCAGTTATTCCCCTTCATAGTCCACACAGGACCTTGAAATCTTGAGAAGGTCTTTAATTTGTAGAAAAATGCTGTAGAAACCCTTGCTGATTGTACGTTTACTGGGTGGGCACAATAATGAATCGTGTATGAACCTCTGATGGAGGACAGAACTGGAATGTGTGTACTGCTACTGTGTTTTTTTACCAACAAGATGTAAGTGGATGACATCACAGGTATAGTGTAATGTGTACTCATGGTATCCCAATGATGTAATGTGAATGTATGACATCACACTGCTATATTGTGTACCAAGAGTCCATAATACCCAAGAGTGCGCAACTGGGATGGGGTTGTGGGCCGGCGTAATCCATGATGCACGTTATTTTTTGGGTCGGACTTGCGTCGTTCCGTCGACGCTGTCCACCACGGAAACGCTTCTCCTGCTCATGATGTCACACTATGATGTGCAACGCGGATTTCGCCGTCCCAGATCCGAGCAGTGAAGTTGGGCACTCTGTGGGGGTTATGGACTCTTGTGTGTACGTATGACATCATGATGCTGTACTGTGTACAAGGCCTTCTGACCACACAATGCTGTAACGCTGTAACTGAGTACTTCGAACATCACAAGAATGTGTGCACAGTCTGTGAAGCAACTCAGATGTGTCCCTTTCAATGAAACGAAGCCTTCTTTTTAGGTAGTTACGGCGTTGCTGTCACAGAAGCATTTTGGAAATATGGACGATCCACTGGTTGTTTTTGTTGGTGTGCATACCTGTGTGTGTGTGTGTGTGTGTGTGTGTGTGTGTGTGTGTGTGTGTGTGTGTGTGTGCGTGCACGTGCACGTGTACGTGTATGTTCAGGTGACCATTGAGACGGCCGTTCATCTCGGTCCACTGTTAGAAGAGCAGGTCAGCACAGCAGCAGCGCCCAGTCATCAGCCCGCGACCGGTGCTGCTGCCAAGTCGCACCATACCTCATCTGGTGAGCACAGGCTTGTCCTCTCACCCATGCTCTCAGTTGTCTTGTGTATGGGTGTGTGAATGAATGCTGGCTTGAGTTGTGTGTGTGTTTGTGTGGGAGAGGGGGGGGGGGGGGGGGGGCGACTGGCAAAAGGCCGTTCATGTACCAAGAAGTACACAGTTGTGTAGTACGTGGCCAGGATTTTTTCCCGTAATCGGTTCTTCAGCCTTGCAAGCTCTACGATGGCTAAAGCCCAAAATGATTTACTGCAGTGTTTGCTATGCTCGCTTTCTCTGCTGGACTGTCAATTTTCTAAAGTCCCTGTGTGTGTATGTGTGTGTGTGTGTGCATATGTGTGTGCATGTGTGTGTGTGTGCATGTGTGTGTGTGTGCATATGTGTGTCCCTGTGTGTGTGTGCATGTGTGTGTGCATGTGTGTGTGTGTGCATGTGTGTGTGCATGTGTGTGTGTGTGTGCATGCATGTGTGTGTGTGCGCGTGCGCGCGTGTGTGCATGTGCATGCGTGTGTGTGCATGCGCACGTTTGTGTTGTGCGTGCGTGTGTAGGTGGCGACGACGACAGCGTATCGTCCGTATCGATGATGGACGTGCGCCACTCATCGCAGGACCTGGATGCTCTGGCCGAGGACGAGGACGACAGCCTGAGCACGGACAGTGACATTGACAGCGGTGTGGACGATGACGAGGCAGACGTGAACGACAACGCCGGAGCCACTGCGTCCGCCACGGCCCTGGCCACGGCTACGTCCATGCTGCAGAGCCTGGAGAAGTCCTTCCCCTCATTGTCCGGTACCATCTCACAGGTCAGGCAATAAGTCCATTGCGCAATGACGTAATTTGCACCGTCAACACCGCACACAGAGTCACAGACTCACGGGTATGGCCCTCTGGAGTGTGTTTACAGTGCACTGCAGATCCCAGCGTATTCACATGCATTACTATTACCTTCCATATCAGATTCTGGCAATACACATTGGGCTTATGCTGTCATCCTTTCCGGATACCTTCATCGCTGGTCAGTTGTAGTAACTGTTGCATGTACAGTAGAACCTGTGTTTGCCGGACCTTGTACCAAGCGGAGTCCTGTATTGACCGGACAATGCTTCACGCACCAAAGTGCTGTAGACCGAACTTGCATGCCTAGATCAAGTGGAACCCTGTCATGTCAGGACAGTGCCCGCTGCACCAAGGGCGTCCGATTAGGGCAGGCTTCTACTGTACAACCAAGTAAAATGCAATCTGTACGTGTCTTTTGCGTTTTGGTACTTGCAACGGCCTGTGACGGACACTCTGTATGGGTTTAGATCATTATGATCAGAGACAGGGTTTTAGTTCCACTGTATCTACCGGTTTTGTATCATCGTCATGTGACTGTGGTCGTGTAGAAAGTGTACTTGGTAGTACGTGTATGCGGACAGTGGAACCAACATTGCTAACATTATGTGACTCACTCCTGCAGGAATTGATTGGGCTGGACCCAACATAGCTGCCCTGTATGCGGTCATGTGATTATGTACAACAGCAGTATGCACCAGGCCAGCAGGGGCGCTCAACATGTTTCTCGTGTTTTGTTTTTTTACTACTGCGGTTTCTGCTCTCTCTCTATCTCTGTCTCTCTCTCTCTCTCTCTCTCTCTCTCTCTCTATCTCTCTCTCTCTCTCTCTCTCTCTCTGTCTCTGTCTCTCTCTCTCTCTCTCTCTCTCTCTCTCTCTCTCTCTCTCTCTCTCTCTCTCTCTCTCTCTCTCTCTCTCTCTCTGTCTTCCCCGTGGATGTGCATTGCTATCCACAGGTCACTACCAGCTTGCAAGCGGCCACTGACGCCAACGGCCAACAACAGCCTCCTCCATTGGATCCCCAACCAGCCGCTTCGTCACAGGTCGTCAGCAATACCAGCACCAGTGCTACATCCAAGCTGAAACGCTTTGCCGGCTTTGTGGCACACACGCGCATTGGCCAGACCGTGATGAAGAGCAACGTGGTCAAGAAGCTCTCCGAGAAGGTCTCCAACATGCCACTGGTGCTGTCCGTGGAGCTACGCCAGCTGTCAGGCACGATGACTATCAACGTCCCACCTCCGCCCAGCGGTGTTGTGTGGTACGTTCCGCTCCATGATGTCGTTGTTTTGAAGTGTTCACGGGGGTATAGATCAGATTTCCCCAAGCTAGGGCTTCGCTGCCTGCTTTCTCCATTTACAGGTGCCAGTGCGCCATCTATTTTCCTCTCAAATGTGCCGACTGCAAACATAATCAAGTAGCGTGCCCCACTGTCCGAAGAGTGCCCAATACCCGTATAGGGCAGAGCCGTGTACACAAGAGAGAGAGAGAGAGAGATTGGAAGCCGTGTGACGGTGTCTGTCATAACTCTGAGTTTCACGTATTGCTACGATCAAATACAAACATAATTATGTTCGACGGGATCACAGAAACGCAATGGCTAAAACTGCCCTTGCTCACCTGGTTTTCCTGGCCAGTTCAAAGCTTCCAGCACGACCTTTATGTACATGACAGCTCTAGATTGTATGTATTCTTCTCTTGTTCTTCTCTTTGTTCTTTGATCTGCAGGTGTGCATTTGCTAAGCCACCGGAGATCATTCTTGTGGCAAAGCCACGCGTTGGTCAAAGAGAGGTGAAACTGGAGAAGGTTACTGACTGGATAGAGCGCAAGCTGATCGCGGAGTTCAAGGTGTGTGTGAGCATATGTGTACGAGCGTGCTATCATGTATGTTTGTATGTCGGGTGGGGGGCGTGTGTGTATATTTTACTGTGTGTATGTGGTCGTGCATGTGTTTTATGTATATGCACGCAAACAAGCGCACACACACGCACACTCGCGCACACACACACCCTGAGACTCCCTCGATTTAGGCTAAGGCCTGTGGAGAATCCGTAAACACACATACAAATACACTTACGAAGTGGTAGGGTGAAATACACCTCTGACCTGTTAATATTATAGTGATTGTGTTTAGCGTGTTTCTAGCCCCATTCGCTCCGCCAATGCCTCGTGCGTTTTATTTCCCTACCTCTGTTTTGCGCCTTCCTCTGACCTGCAGAAACGCCTGGTCATGCCGAATATGGAAGACCTTGCCATTCCCCTCATGAGCTCGGGCATGCCTGACGACGTCGAGGAGAGTCTGCCTGCACCTGCATCCGAGATAGTCGGCGGCCCTTCCACGACAGCCACAGCAAGCTAGTCAAATTGCTCTCCTTTTTTTCTTCTGTTTTTTTTTCTCGATATTATTTCACCTGTTGTGTTGGCATGCTCTGCGTGCTCTCTTCGTGTACATAAGGTTTTTTTTAAGTACGGCGCCTTGCCTGATCGCCCCACGCTTTTATTGACCTGCCCTGGAGGCAGAGAATAGTTCCATGTGCCGTGCACCCCCGTCGCCGCCTCGATTTTATTGAACATACCTAACTTACTCGACCCGCTGCTTATTTATTGTTCGTTGTGCGGCTGCGATCAGATGAGTTTATTTTATTTTCTATCCGTAGCGTTGATGTGCGCGCTTTCTCTGTAGCATGTGTACATACGTGAATAATTATCGATGTTCGCATCTGTCAAAAAATGATAATTATCACTGCTTCTTCTAGGATGCTTATGGTCCAACACCCCAGACTTATTACTGCGCATCTATTTCTTGCTGGAGACCAGCTTCCACTTGGTCTGGCTTGCTACCTATCGGCTGATTTTTGTATCCATTTTTATTCCACGATGATGTCGTGCTTCGACTGAACTTTAAAAATTCTTGCCTTGCTGGGTGATAGTATGCAGTGCACTGGTGACGTCACTGGTGACATCACTGGTGACATCACACGCCAGTACATGTAGTATGTAGCCTGCTGCTGGGTCCATCATATATATCAGAGCTGACTTGACTTCTGCATTCCGGCGAGCGGCAAGGTTGACCGTTTTGCAAGACAAGCTTTGCAGAGCTTTCGGTTTTGCCTGGAAGTCGGCGAGGACTTTACCAGTGGCGGTCCGCGACTGGTTACTTGCAGGCTTTCTTCTTTTCTACCTGTGATACTGAAGTGACTTTGACCTTGAGGACCAGATGTAAGCTGTGCGCTTGTGTTCGCTTGTGAGAATTGCGCTTGTTGTGCCCGCGTGGTTGCTCTGGTCACGAGTCATTACTATGTGTAGTGCATTGGTCTGTCCCCGGGGAAAATTGCAATTCCGCGGCCGCGTTTTTTTCCGCGTTTTTGCGATTTTTTAAAAGACCGCGTTTTCCGCGATTTTCCCGCGTTTTTTGAACTTTTTTGTTGCACTACACGTACACACAGTGCACTGTCCGGTCAGCAACGTCTCATCGTGGCGGCTTTTTACTCAAATATGACGAGTGTTTACACCAGAGACTTGTAACTGATTGATTTCACTACATACTCACTGAAAATTGCCGCACATCAATATTATTTACCGCATATTCACCGCATATTTACCGCAAATTCACCGCAAATTATGCCATATTATGCCGCGTTTTTCCCCGCGTTTTTTGCGATTTTTTTCCGCAATTTTCCCCGGGGACAGATTGGGCACGTCATCATGCACCCACTGATTGCACAGCGCCTGGACGGCTGGAGTTCTAGTGCATGGCCCCATTGTGGACACTGGACCGGAAATTAGAATATTGGGACAGGTCGACTTGCCCGGACCGCGCACCGGGTGCATGCTTCAGCCCTGACCTAGTCCGTGACCTGTGTATGGGCTACTATACAAACTACTACTAGTGTGTACTGTAGGCATGGACGTTTCATGGGAAAGAATTGTTTTGGAGAGTCGTAAGATGCCTTCAGCAGGAAGTACTAAAATAGCCTCCCTTGTCTGGTAGATCTACATGCCATAGCCTGCAGTGATAAGTGGCCAGGTTTCACAAGAGAAGTATGAAGTCTGATCTTATGACTATGTCATTATGTGATCGTTAGGTCAGCTCTGACGTAGAATCTCTGAAGGGAGTACTATTTTAGTACATGCACATGCATTATTAATATTATGCACTTTTGGCTCACAGTACGGCACCTCCAGGCTAATCACCACTGCGCTGTACGACAAGATCATGGCGCAAGAAGAGCACCTCGATGATGCTCTTGCCTGTGTCCGCAGGGCCAAGAGTCAGGCTCGCTCTGAGGCCAGAAAGGCAATGAAGATAGCTGCCGATACGCTCCGCACCGAACACAGCGAACTCGATCTCGCTATCAGTCTGGCAGAGGAGAAGGGAGCATCAAGCTGGCTTACCTGCCGACCCATCGCTCGCCATGGCTTCGCTTTGTCGAAGGGGGAATTCCGGGATGGCCTCTGCCTCCGTTACGGTTGGACGCCTTCTCGCCTGCCCACCACCTGTGTTTGCGAGAAGGCATTCACCACTGCTCACGCCTTGTCCTGTCCTTTCGGTGGGTTCCCCTCGATCCGCCACAACGAGGTGCGCGACATACTGGCAAGCTCATTGAAGGGTGTCGCCCACAACGTCGCAGTGGAGCCACATCTCCAACCCCTGACTGGGGAGCAGTTTCAGCTCCGGTCAGCATCAACCGAGGATCAAGCTCGTTTGGATGTGGTGGCCAGTGGAGTTTGGGGGGGTCGGTTCGAACGCACTTTTATTGATGTACGGGTGTTCAACCCTTATGCGTCTTCGAACCGCACCTCCTCTCTCTCTGGCTGCTACCGGCACCATGAGCAAGAGAAACGGCGTCGATATGATCGGAGAGTCCGAGAAGTGGAGCGATCCACTTTTCTCCCCTTTGTGCTCTCTTCCACCGGAGGATGCGGCAAGGGTGCCGCTGCACTGGTGAGCCGGATTGCACATCTCCAGTCGCTACGTGGGAGGGAGGCGTATTCTGTGCTAATTGCCCACCTCCGATGCAGGCTGTCTTTCGCCCTGCTGCGTTCGAGTGTCATGTGTCTGCGTGGGGCTCGCCGAGTTTGGCAGCCTCCAATGGATGGCGGTGCCTCCCTGGCTGTCGTGGAGGCTAGGATGTCCCGTTGAGCCTTGCCCCGTGATTGTGCGGACTATGCTATGCTTCTCTTGCTGTCTGATCACATGCGACGTCATCATTATGTGATTTGTTTTCAATCCTCCGCCATGGCAAATTGTGTTTTGTTCGCCCGTAAAAGAGGCTTTTACTTTTTTTCTTTTTCTTTTTACACACTCGTACGATCGTACAAGAGTCTTGCTCGTAGATTTCTAGATTTCTACGCGTACAGATCGTATACCATGCTGTCCCCGGGGAAAATTGCGGAAAAAAATCGCAAAAAACGCGGGGAAAACGCGGCATAATTTTTTTTTTCTGATTTTTTTTCGCACAGCAGAAAAGCAACCAACAGAAAATCACGGAATCATAGCAAACATGACAAAACAAAATCATCGGATAATAAAAGTGTGGCTAGACACGGCTACTCCGCAAGAGTCTCATCAGTCACGCAACTGACAGTCGTTGACTGCCAGCACAACAGGAGTGGCAGCATCCAAACGACTGCGGTAGGGAGAAGCACGGTGACCACGGAGGCTCATGTTGCAGGATCGAACCAAAGCAAAGGAGACAAGAGAGCGGATCCAGGACATGACGGAGGAGTAGGGTTCATGCCGCTTCTCCGAAACCATATGGCCAAGACGCTTCAGGAAAAAACGCGGCATAATATGGCATAATTTGCGGTGAATTTGCGGTAAATATGCGGTGAATAATATTGATGTGCGGCAATTTTCAGTGAGTATGTAGTGAAATCAATCAGTTACAAGTCGCTGGTGTAAGCACTCGTCATATTTGAGTAAAAAGCCGCCACGATGAGACGTAGACGTTGCTGACCGAACAGTGCCTTTTTTGTTGCACTACACGTACACACAGTGACTGTGTGTACGTGTAGTGCAACAAAAAAGTTCAAAAAACGCGGGAAAATCGCGGAAAACGCGGTCTTTTAAAAAATCGGAAAAAACGCGGAAAAAAACGCGGCCGCGGAATTGCAATTTTCCCCGGGGACAGACCATGGTATACTCGTAGAGGATGTGGTCGACCGGTCACATGTACATGCACACGTCACATCGATCACGCGACACAACAAACACACTCTCAAAATCGTTTCCTGTTGACAAAGATTTGGCGTCGACGGCGAGTCGAGTCTTTGTTCGGGCTTTCTTGCTCGGTTATCAAGTATCTATCAAAGTTTTCCTTTGCCAAGTAATCTCAGAACCACCGGACTGTGGGTAGGAAATAATTTTTAATTGGGCAGTGTAGCTGCGGCGTCGGCGAAGATGTTGATCAAGGAATAGTAAGCCGCTTTGTGATGCAATTCCACCGAGATCGAATTTGATCATCTTTTCAGTATTTGCGCGTAGAAGATCAAATATTTCTGTCTCGAGCGACTCCCACTGAGGTCTTTTGTGTACTCTGGTGTGCTATTTGCTGATGATCCTGCAGCCGAGTTGTACTTCCTCTTACGGTCGAGGAGGTAAGTCAGCGGGCTGTCTTTTCCGCGCTTAGCTCACTGTGCATTGATGACATTTTTATTTTTCTGAGTTTTCAATTTCAATTTCACTGTTGCTGCTTTTTCGCCTTGTTCCTTCTAGTACCAAGTTGGCCAGTTGTACTCAGTAGCACAGGCCAGCAAAGACAACACTGGTGGCGGTGAAGGCATTGAAGTCGTCAAGAACGAGCCGTGCGACCATGCTGAGTTTGGCAAAGGCCAATACACGTACAAGATATACCATCTGGATGGGTGAGGGCGAGGGGGTCGTTCTATGTGTGTGTGTGCGCGCGTGGGCGTGTGCGTGCACGTATTCCTCGCGCCTGTGCTGTCTATCTCCATCTGCATGTTTGGCTCTAGACCATAATCAGGCAGGGTTCAGGTGTTTCCCCCAATTCTGTGCTCCAGTATTGCACTCACGCTCTTCCCAGTATTCCGCTCGCTTGTGTGTCTGCACGAAGATGTCTAAAGTCTCCTTGCTCATCATATACATAGCACCCATCTTTTCAACAGCCGCACGCTCGTACGCATGACACTCACGATTCGTTCAAGAAACGCACACTTTAAAAATGTCCCCGTGTAGTACGAACACATCAGTTAGCAAAGCACACCGCGTGTATGCATCTTCTCACGCTCTTCGTGCATGTAGGTTATGTTGCGGCAATGGGCAAGCGACAGCTCGTGCCATACATCATGACGTACTATTCTTTTGTTGTTCTTGCTTGCGGTGATGTGTGTGTGTGTGTGCGCGCGCGCTCGCCGTGTGCATTTGGTGGGTGTGTTTCCGTGTGTGTGTTCTCCTTCCCTTGTGCATTTACAGAAAGGTCCCACGATGGATTCGCAAGATCGCACCCAAGGGCTCATTGGAGATCCACGAAGAGGCATGGAACTGCTACCCATACTGTCGGACAGTTCTCAAAGTATGTACAACATGAAATCTGCCACCTTGATAGCAACTAACTGCATGGTTATCCCAGTACTAGGGGCGAACGATGAGAGCTCTTTCCCGATGGCACCGCAGCTATCTAATGCTATCCCGCACAGGGTTATCCCTAGAGAGTCCTAGCAAAGGGGGGGGGGGGGGGGGGCACCCCCTCACCCCCTACTCTGACGGTGCGCACCACTACTCTGACAGCGCACTACCCTACTTATTTTTTCTCTGGATTTTTTTGGTTGCACATTGAAAATGCTGTCACAAATCGATCGTTCCAGTTGCTCACTGCGCCCGTACATAGGGTTTTGGTGTGACAAGGCAATAGTGGAACATGAAAAAAATGGTGAACTGTTTGTTTCCCTCTGTCCCCCACCCCGTACAATTTTTTCCGGCCTAGAACCCTGCTAGAGCTTCATGTCACCGCTGAAACTCGCGTTGCATGAGGCACTTTTCCCCTCGCAGAGTCCGAGACAATCACTAAAGTCTAGGGGTGAAGTTGGCACTGAGATCCCGAGTTCGAGTACTCCGATTCTCTCCAATCGAATATTCGAGTATTCTTCATCCCCTAAAAATTGCACACACCAATGGCCTTAAAATCACATGATACAACCCTGATTGAACCGAGTGGCAGTCATTTTTCTCGGGTATATTGGTTGGTGGATCATTTGGGCTCTCTCTCCACTACAGGTGCAGTCCCGACTGAAACGTGTCATTTTTCTGAGCCAATGTGTGACAGATGTACACAGTCATGTTATGAGATATATCCGGGACTTGTGGTGGATAAATCACTATTTGATCCTGTGTGAACGAGTGCAAGAAAGCGCGTGTGGTGCGTTGACATCCAGTACAAGCGTCGAGGGATTTTCTTTCTTTCTTTTTGCGGCGGGTACTGTGCGCTTTGCCCCGTGTGTGTGCACATAGTCCACCTGATCTGTGTCTTCCTAACCGTTGCTGTCAATAGAGATTATGCGATCCAAACGATAATTAGAGGATGAAAAAGGGTTTTACTCTGAGTTTCACGCACTAAGGCTGCAACCGCACTACGTACGAAATCAAGTACTCGTTTGCGTTCGCGTTTCGATAACGCAACATTGCATCCACACTGCCATTTCATGCATGCTCACGATCCTTGCGTTTTGTCCACGTTTCTGGGCCTCAGAAAATATCGTGCTGTGAAAATGTATGTACAGTTGTGGCAAGTGAAATCCGACACTCAGCATAAGGGACTACACCATGCAGTCTGCAGCCCTGCATACGTAGTACATGTGTTATATACAACTTTATCCGTCTCATGACAGAATTCGTACTCATCACAGTCAAGGTTCACAGTCAAGGTTCAAAAGGTGCTGGCGAAATTTAATGGGGATTGGATACCAATACTCCTTATGTGTACCATGTTTGTGAACTGTGTGTATCTACGCTGTGACCTTTCGATCTGTTCGGGATGCATACGGCTCTATTGTACAGATTAGGTGCAGTGCATTACATCATTGGTGTCCATTTGTGGCGCTGTCCCCTATGGCAAGTGTCGGATTTCACTTGCCACACTGTATTAGTAGTTTGAAAAAGAGTCGAAGCGCTAAGTATGAATTTCGTTTTTGAGGAACGTGGATGTTCGCGGATGGTTTCAAGGTTTGTTGCCCACTTTAACATCAAGTGGAGACCATGGAAGGACGACCTTCTCGTAGGAGATTTGCCGCTCTCTGGTCGTTCCAGGTGATGTCTCAGGTCTCGAGTCTTCAAGCTGAAACGGTGGATACCGTTGTCCGAACTTTGTTGCTGTCTGATGATGATAATATCACTGTCCTCGGAGTGTATGCTGATTTCGTTCCTGTTGTTGACTGGCAAAATGAAATACCGCCTGTGTCGCCTTCTTTGGACAGCCCATCCTGAAAATGAAATTGGTCATTGCGCAGGATTTTGGGAGGGAGAAGTCTTGAATACCTGGGAAGTCACGAAGAGAACATCTCTCAGGTGGTCCTCGCTGTCGTTCTCATCACCTGCATGCTCCAATGCTGATGCTGTAACATGCGATGATGGCCGCTTGCTCCGCCGAGCATGTGTTCCCTGTGTGTACGTTACAGGAGTACTGTCGGCAGATACCGTCCCTGCGGTGGATGGTGTCGCAGGACACAGTGGCGAGCTTGAGTGATCAGCTAGAAGAAGAGCATCAAGACTGTCATCGTCGGAGTCATCAGCTCTCAGTTGTGGCCGGGTCACTGTTGACGCGCTGGCAGTAGTTGAGCCAGGTGTGCTGGAGCTGGTTGGTGAAGATGACGACGTTCTAGGCATGGCAGCACTGCTACTGTGTGTTGTCGCAGGATCACAGTTGGAAGCGGCCTGGAGAGAAGCTGTGCTTATCGAAACTAGTGGACCATATTCAGGCATCTGCCCGAACGGGGAATGCCACGTCCGGAAGTTTCCCCAGCAAACGTAGGCCATCTCCAGGTCGTAGGCATCGTCACTGCCCGGATCTGGGGCAGCGGGACCAGTCTCCTGCGACTTCTTATATTTTTTATAGAATTTGCGCGCCTTGGATTTTAAATTGTCGACTTTGTCGTGTATTTTTTTTGGTATAAAAAAAAACATACACCCCTCACCGTAGAGGTCCTTGTCATACCCGTTCAAGGCCTCTGTCATCTCCTTCTCTCGGATGCTCCGTTTCGTCATCTGGTCCTGCTTTGTCTTCTGATACGCTACCCAAAGCTCCATGAGCTTTTCAAGATCGTCAGTGAAATAGTTGCCTGCCATCTCGGAATCAACAGCAGGCAACAGGAGTGTCCGGAAATTATACTGAAAGCACTGGCAGATGAAATCTCAAACACTACAAACTGACAAGGAAGCCGTCCACTACCGACACGGACTCAGTGCGAGCCTCAACAGGAAACATCTACCCGTATGAAGAACCGAAACGCAAGGAAAAGGCGAAAAGTTGCTTTCTACAGGGGTACCAGGATTGCTGAAAAGAAACGCAGCACGTTTTGCGTTTCGCGCACGTTTCCTTGACGACATAAGCAGAAAAGTTGCGTTTACGCAGTTTTGTACCTAGTGTGGTTGCAGCGTAAGCGATCATCAGAAAACAGCAATGAGCAAATCTGGATATTGGTTTATATACCCACAAAGCAAAAGTGTTAATTTTAGAGGTTATGCGATGACATCATCAGTTGAGATGCCTGGGCGAGGTCGCGGCACAGCGCTGCTCTTGCGCTAGCGACACGTGCTGCATACCTAGCGTCCATACGCGGATCCGCCGAGCATTCATTCGCGTAACCTCACTGTGTTTGATAGAAGCTTGAGGTGCCATGCTCCAGGACTAGTTCCAGGTGAACAACTCAGAGTATGTGCCTATTCCACCGTCCTTGTGCATCATTTGTGTAGAGTACTTTGAGACGGTTTTGTCCTTGCCTCAACTCTACACTGTTGTCACGCTAGTCATGTTGTTCTTGTTTGGTGCTGTTTGCAGAATCCCGACTACATGAAGGACAACTTCTCTCTGATTGTGGAGACTTGGCATAAGGATGGCTGCGCGGATATCGACAATGTAAGCTTTCTAAGTTTCTATCTATTAGTCTATTTTGCTGGTTTTACTGTCCATTACTCTGCTCTGCTACGGCATATGTACTCAGTACGTTGCAGTGCCCAACAGACAACACACCTTATCCTTGTAGGTGTTCATCTTAACACCTGGCCGGGTCTTTGTCATCATCGCTGCTGTTCTCTCTCTCTCTCTCTCTCTCTCTCTCTCTCTCTCTCTTTCTCTCTCGCTCTCTCTCTTCTCTCTCTCTCTCTCTCTCTCTCTCTCTCTCTCTCTCTCTCTCTCTCTCTCTCTCTCTCTCTCTCTCTCTCGCTTTCTTCTCTCTCTCTCTCTCTCTCTCTCTCTCTCTCTCTCTCTCTCTCTCTCTCTCTCTCTCTCTCTCTCTCTCTCTCTCCCCCAATACATGTGTCGGTGTGTCCTTCTCACTGCTCTCCCCTGTTTTCAGGTACATAACCTTGACAAGGACAAACTCAAGCAGAGAGAAGTGGTGCTTATTGACATCGGTAATGACCCAATCGACCCAGCGGTAAGTTCTCCTTACAAGCGCTTTGGACACTGTAGATTGAACTATTGTGTATACCTGTACAATGTCATGTATATACATGCACGTCCCATGTTGGGCGACCACGCACAGCTGTGCTGATCAATTCCGACCTCTTAACTGCTGAAGGACGTATATCTGCTACACGTGGAAAAGGAACCGAGCAGAGCCTGAGAACCCACACAGGTGTAGCGATTTTCGGCCTCACATTAGGTATAGCCGTTTGTTCGCTTCTCTCGCATAACGGATGTAGCAAACGTTTGCACTGGCGCAAAAATGCTAGAATTGGGTATCACCCAAAGTACATTCGGCAACCCGAGGGGTTTGCAACGACCTGCACAACCTCTATCCAGTGCTGCGGTAGCAGAACTTCACATGGTTCAGTAGGTAGCAAACACTGCCAAGTGACCACAGGAGAGTTGAACCCAAAGCGAGAGAGAGAGAGAGAGAGAGAGAGAGAGAGAGAGAGAGAGAGAGAGAGAGAGAGAGAGAGAGAGAGAGAGAGAGAGGTCATTTTGTACAGGATGTGTTTGGGGATACAATGCACTGACTTGTACACCTTTACAACACCCTTGTGATGATCTGTGTGTGTATGTGCATGTGTGTATTTGTGCATACATTTGTGCACGTGTGTGTGGGCGTGTGCATGTCTACAACTCTTGTACTTTCAACATTCCGTGCTTGTTTGCAGTCTTACAAAGAAGACGAGGACCCAACCAAGTTCAAGTCCGAGAAGACCGGCCGTGGACCACTCACGGGAAAATGGCAGGTATGGCGTGAATGTGATACCTTTACAGGGCATGGATCTCCCGCTCTCTGTTGTGCCGTGGCAGAAATGGAGCCCTTTGTGTCAGCAGTTGTTCTGATCACACAAGGCAGGCTTCCAACACGGTGAAGAGATTGCCTGGCGGTGATTCCATCGTATTTGTTACCTGTATACCCAGGACGCACCGTTGCGAGACAAAACCCGTACCTGGTCTATCAGCCTCGCTGCACATTTGTACCGTGAGGACATTTCCTAAGGGTTGAGTCCACTGCAGGTGTTGCATGCCAGGATGAACTGTTGCAAGGCACGGCCTGTTCTTATCATCACCAACAACAGTTAATGAGTTATTGGACCCATTGCGCAATGGTGTAGTTTGCACAGCGAACACCCCACACAGCCACCTGGGCATGGTCGTCTGGGGTGTTGAACAGTGCATTGCTGATCCCAGCGTACTCACATAACACCCCACACAGCCACCTGGGCATGGTCGTCTGGGGTGTTGAACAGTGCATTGCTGATCCCAGCGTACACATAACACCCCACACAGCCACCTGGGCATGGTCGTCTGGGGTGTTGAACAGTGCATTGCTGATCCCAGCGTACTCACATAACACCCCACACAGCCACCTGGGCATGGTCGTCTGGGGTGTTGAACAGTGCATTGCTGATCCCAGCGTACACATAACACCCCACACAGCCACCTGGGCATGGTCGTCTGGGGTGTTGAACAGTGCATTGCTGATCCCAGCGTACTCACATAACACCCCACACAGCCACCTGGGCATGGTCGTCTGGGGTGTTGAACAGTGCATTGCTGATCCCAGCGTACTCACATAACACCCCACACAGCGACCTGGGCATGGTCGTCCGGGGTGTTGAACATTGCATTGCTGATCCCAGTGTACTCACATAACACCCCACACAGCCACCTGGGCATGGTCGTCTGGGGTGTTGAACAGTGCATTGCTGATCCCAGCGTACTCACATAACACCCCACACAGCCACCTGGGCATGGTCGTCTGGGGTGTTGAACAGTGCATTGCTGATCCCAGCGTACTCACATAACACCCCACACAGCCACCTGGGCATGGTCGTCTGGGGTGTTGAACAGTGCATTGCTGATCCCAGCGTACTCACATAACACCCCACACAGCGACCTGGGCATGGTCGTCCGGGGTGTTGAACAGTGCATTGCTGATCCCAGTGTACTCACATAACACCCCACACAGCCACCTGGGCATGGTCGTCTGGGGTGTTGAACAGTGCATTGCTGATCCCAGCGTACTCACATAACACCCCACACAGCCACCTGGGCATGGTCGTCTGGGGTGTTGACCAGTGCATTGCTGATCCCAGCGTACTCACATAACACCCCACACAGCCACCTGGGCATGGTCGTCTGGGGTGTTGAACAGTGCATTGCTGATCCCAGTGTACTCACATAACACCCCACACAGCCACCTGGGCATGGTCGTCTGGGGTGTTGAACAGTGCATTGCTGATCCCAGCGTACTCACATGCATTACTCATACAATCCATATTTGGCAATGCGCAATGGGTTCTAATGTCACGTCCTCACTAGGGCGTCTATGGAGCTTTATATGATGTGGCTTGATAATATGCTTGATATGCATCGACAATTTATTTTCGTACAGTCCGTGTCATGCATAGTAGACCCCGGCTTTGTCTTTCTTCCCTGCAATGTCCGCCTGACCTGTCAGCAGTGCTTGATTCCTGCCGTGTACCATCAAGAGTACAGAACCTCTGGATACCCTTTTCTATGATACACTCTTGAGAGCTTGTTATACTCTTGTTGCCATGTTACAATACTCTGCTCCTTGGTTTGCATGTCCTCTGCTTGGCAGGAGAGCGCATCACCCGTGATGACCTGCTACAAACTGGTATCGTTCGAATTCAAGTGGTTCGGCCTCCAGACTTTCATGGAGCGCAAGGGCATTGAGGTAGGTGGTAAAAGCCTAAAACCTGTTTTGTGCCGGGTGTGTTTTCTTTGTGTATCTGTTGAGGGGGGGGGGGGGGGGGTGACATCTCACCGTTCATTGTCGGATTCTCCCATTGGGAGTGTTCAAAGTTGTTCACACTATATCAGCGCCTGGGTTCGAGGGACTGAAGTCACTATTCAGTATTGCCACAACTCTTCTTGGTGCTGGTCTTCCGTTGAAGCTGTCTGTGTAGACAGTGAAACCCTACGGTTTGTCACTGAGATCCTCTCCTCATCATACGCCGTATACACCTCTATATCATGGTGTTTGCTTATGCCCTGTCGACAGTTCAATGCCTACTATCTGGCTCTATCTCTCTCCCTCTCTCTCTCTCCTCTCTCTCTCTCTCTCTCTCTCTCTCTCTCTCTCTCTCTCTCTCTCTCTCTCTCTCTCTCTCTCTCTCTCCCCACACACACACACCCACATTCATGGAACTTGGTTGTCTTTTGTTGTGCTTTCTTTGTACAGTTCAACAAGAACCTCTTCACAATGTTTCACCGACAGCTGTTTTGTTGGCTGGACAAGTGGCATGGTATGACAATGGGAGACATCCGTGAATTGGAGGAGAAGACGAAGGCAGAGCTTGACGACGTGAGTGTGTGTGTGTGTGTGTGTGCAAAGGAGAAAAATAGTGTAGCTTGCTCAGCATAGCAAACTGCTTCATACTACCAGTACGTTGTATTGTGGTGACTTTGGGGGCGGGGGATCTGCCTTTTCAATGAATTCTGTCCCCTACCTATCCCCGCTCAGTTAGCAGAACTGTTCCAGTCGCCTTTTCCTGCGTGCCCGCATTGCACAAGTAACGTTTGGTCCTGTTCTAGATCGCACCAGACAGACAGACACGCCTTTCGATAGCTGGAAAGAATCGATAACTGGCGTAAAAAATTTCTTTTTCTGAGACCGTGAGCGGATCAGCTGCCAAGTGGGCTGACAAGCTAACTCCTATCACTCTGCACGCACCGAACATCCTATCGGCATGAAACCGGCGTTTGCAGGGCGGATTTCATTACGGTTGTGTTGCGTAGTTGTAATGCTGTGTCGTGATCCGTTTCTTTCTACCGCCTATCGGATTCAACTACCGTAAACGGGTAACGTTTGCGAAATGAATGTTTGCGTTTTTCGAATTGAGACTGGTTTGCGTTGGTTAATGTTTGCGATTGAATACATAATTATTGAATACATTCTTCTTTGAACTTTACATGGTGCGAGTTTGCGATTCGGGGCCTCTCGCAAAATTCGCAAGCATTTTTACGTCGCAATAGTTACCCGTTTTACAGTATGGGATAACTAACATTCCTGATCTGACCCCATGTATGTGCCGTGTGTGTCTTTGGGTCTGTGTGTGTGCATGTGTGTGTGTGTGTGTGTGTGTCTTGTGCGCGTGCATGGTGCACGTGTTTGTTATACATGTGCTCTCCCTTCACAGCAACGGCAAAACGGCGAGGCCAAATCGACGATGAAGTTTGGCGATTAGTTTATTTCTATATTTATTTATCGAGGTGATAGTCGAGTGGCGTTAGTGTGCGTACGTGTGCCTGTGTGCGAGAGAGTGCTTTTATACACGCATTTGAGCTAGATTTGAGCGGGTGTATGCGGTTATTTTTTTCCATTTCTGATCCGCGTCTCCAGTCCTTTGAGAAACGTGCTGACCTAAAGATCTTTTCAACTCTTTAGCAAATTTGCTCCGTGTACAATATCAGCAATGTGGTTGTGTGTGTGTGTGAGTGGTATGTGCAGTCGATTTCCAATCGAGAGGTTGTGGGTTCAATTCCCGACGATTATGGTCGCACACGTCTTTCTTCTCTTTCTCGGACTCTTCCTGACTTTTCTTTCATTCTCCTGGGTGGTTACCAACAGCCAGTGTATGCCGGAGTATGTGGTGTGGTGTGTGTGTCCGTAAAAAAAATGGAAAAATAGGGATTCACTGGCCATAAAAAGTCACTTCAAACAGTTGTGTGGTGGATACCAGGCTAAAAATAGTGGCGGTCAATTCATCAGCCTTGCAAGCTGTTGAATGGTGTAATCCCAGCACAAGTTGCTATTTCTAACATAGCTGTTCGCTACCATCGCTTCCGCGATGGGCATGTCTGAGGTGTGTGTGTGTGCGTGTCCGGAGTGGCGTGCCATTGCCCGTCGACCACCCAAGGCACCCTCTGCTGCTGGCTACGGTTGCGCCTGCGGCCCCATGTTCCGTCGAAGCGGCGACCTGAAACGCCATCAGTCATTCTGTCGTGGACTGGAGAAATAACAATGCGCTATCATTGCTACGCAATGGGCAAGGTCAGGGTGCGTGTGTGTGTGTGTGTGTGTGTGGTGCCAGCTAGTTCGGTTGGTGGGTACACTTATGCCTGACTGTGTTGGGTCTGTTGCCAACGGGCTCGGCTGCTTGAAGGTGTATTGTTGGTTTCAGGGTTCGTATACTTTCTATTTGAAATAGACATACCTGCTAACCATGGACTGCTTCTGGCTAGATTAACTCTTGTGTAATCAATGGTGCTAGTGACGCTAAGATCAGATCCACTCTGATTTAGCCACCCACACTAGTAGCAAGTATTAGGGAGGTTTCGCTCTACGTAATTACGTATGAAAATCCGTATATCGAACGCGCCGGGGAGCGAGGGCAACTTTCATACGTAAATCTCTCTACGGATTTCCGTAGGAAAGCTCTTTCCTACGTTGGGTCCTCCGTAGGACTTTTTGAAATATTTTTTCGCATTTTCCGCATTTGTCCATGGCAACATTCAAGCCGCGCGAAACACATGGTACACACACCGTACACCACGTGCGTAATATATGGAAACCGCGGTTTCGGTTCATGGTGCATACGGTGGGCGCATGCAGCCAACGCGTCTCCAAAGCAACAAGGCATGTTTAGCAGTCGTGGAGAAATCACGAAGAGCGAAACCCGACAGCTCTGATTTTTACGTATGAAAATTCCGTGCAGTTCATACGTTATTTTTAGGGCTGAAACGATTATACCAATTACTCGGTAAGCGATCGATAATTCCTTATCAATCAAGTAATCGTTACGTTATAGATTACTCGTTAGGAATTTTGAGTCCAAAAAGTACTGAAAACCCTCGTTTTGTGAAGTTTGAATCAGTTTACGCTGCGTGTATGCAGTTGCCAGGGGCATGGTGCATTTTCTGAGGTTAAATTGACTTCAAAACTGTCATGGTTTGGAGCTACCCTGTCACTAATGCAGATTTTTGGTATTATGAAGGCCTAGCTTTTGGAAACAGGATAATTTTTGCACAAAATTCTGACGCTATTTGCTAAAGATTATAATCGATTACTCGATCGTTAAGCTAGAGAGTAATCGATAGGTGAAAATCCGCGATCGTTTCAGCCCTAGTTATTTTCATACGTAATTCCGTAGAGCGAAACCTCCCTAGTATCTTCACTGGGGGCAGGGGTAACTGCAGTTGGATCCCAGGACGGATACCCTGATGCCGTCAATCCTTTTTCTGTACCTTGTCCTCACCCACTTACTGAGGTGTGGTGAGCCCATAAGTGGGATCATTTTCAAGTCCACCCAGAGTTTTGGGGATTTCAGGGGGTGTCGGCCGTTGGGTGGTTCAATAGCCAGTTGAGTCATCTTTCCAAGATTCCTTTTGAGCCTCTCTCCCGGGGAGACCCACGTGACCAGTTTTGGCAGTGAGCAACAAGTACAAGTGTGTGTGTGTGTGCATATGTGTGTGCACAGTGTGTGTGTGGCTTAGGTATGTAGCCATAGCCTTCTCAACTTACTATCTCAAAAATACCTACAGGCATCGGAGGTTCTTCAAGAATGGAATGACATGGGGAACCGGTTCGTGCTTTCGGAGAAACCCGCTGCACAAGACATGAACAGTTTGCGCTGTGAGCGAGTGGTTGTGACACAAGGAGTCACAGTGGTGGCAAAGGGAATGTGAAATGCAGTTGGAACTGGTCGCCGGGCAGAATGATGCACGAACTATTCTTCTGTCAGCTTGACAGCTTCCCCATGCTTCTGCCAAACTTTCTGGTCGGCGTTCACGAACAACACAGCCATCACGATTCAATAGACGTAAACTCTTCACGGTTATCACCGCAGCACACCAGAAGGTCAAAGAAGGAGATTTGCTGATTCATGGTATTAGTAAGGTTCTTCTCCGTAGCCGTTTTTAGCAGTTTGAAGAATTCAGTGTGCGCAGCGACTGAAGTCGGCTATGGAGTGCACTATTTGACGGTAGCCCTTGGCGGATTATGCCGGCATAATATTCAATTATTGGCATAATAATCTTGGGATTTCGTGAAAAAATTATGCTCCGGCATAATATACGGATTCGAACGTGTAGGGTCGGCATAATCTTTCGGTTTAGACAAAAAATTATGCTTAGGCAGTTAGGGGCATAAATGCCTTAATATAGCTTTGTCAGAAAGCCTGCAGATGTTTTTTTTTAAATACCCCAGTTACGATTCCTTGTCATAGGCTTGGCGGATTATCCCGGCATAATATTTGGCATAATCTTGGGATTTCGTCAAAAAATTATGCTCCGGCATAATATACGGCTTCCAAGGTGTAAGGTCGGCATACTCTTTCGGTTTAGACAAAAATTATGCTTAGGGCATGGCCGTGTGTGTATGCGTGGTTTCTCAATCCTCTATGTACAGCGTGAATACATAGTGGAACCGAGCATAATTCAGCATATTTGTTGGCATAATTGTGGCATGATCAAAAGCATAATTTGACGATTGGCCGAGCATAGTTCGCCAATGGCTATTTGACGGGCTCTGCGTGACGGAGCGAGCAGACCTTTGGCTTGTAAATCCGCTCAGATGTTCTTCACCTCAAGATTCTGGAGGTGCTGGAGCAGGAGGTGATTATTTTCAATCCATCGAAGTATGCAGAGCACGTCCCTTCCAACACGTACATGTACGGCAGTTTCTCCGCCACCCACCACCCTCCAAAGAACACCAAAAACCCGCATATCGCGCAACATTCACTGTGTCTTCATGATGTCCGGGAAACCCACTTTTGTGCCATTGCTCTGCATACAATTGCATACAATTGCATACATGTACTTCAAGCTGTACGTGGCCTCCGACGATTGCATACCAACTTTGTGGCCTGATAACTCCGGTTTGGGACAAGATAATTATACCCATCAAAATTTCTGTGTGTGTTCTACAGAGGTTTCTCTGTTGGCCCTAATTCCAATTTCAGAATTTTGGACTGAAGTCGCTACTTTATATTAATCAAAAGATGATAACAAACCAGAGAGTTTTAGATGCTAAACCTACATGTCACGCCGAAAAAACCTGTTCGACAGGGGGGGGGGGGGGGGGGGGAGGTGATTTCACTTTCTGGCACTTTATTTTTATAATTATTTACAAAGTACTCATGGTACTTGATCGATTGCTCGAGCGCGCGCTCTGGTTCGTTGCAAAAAAAGAGTACTATAACTGAGCCAGGGACTACAGAAACCACCCTATGGCACTTTTTGGCGAAAACATATTTTTCTCTCAAAATGTTGGTATGGTATGGTTATGTGCTCAAACAAAATTTCAAGTTGATCTGCGGTGGTAAAATGTGCCTAACCACCTATTTAGTAATGGCATGTCAACTGAGCGATATAGAGCAAATTTATGTACACAGTTTGTAATGGTCTTTGTATATCTTCAGTCTTGCTAGTTAGGCAGTTCAAATGTATAGTGAACTATGCCCTCAGCTTCATCCAGTGACGCCTGCGCGCCGTCCACTAAATCTCGGTAGTACTGCCGCTCCTCTTGTGCTAGTTGTTAGGTCCCGGTTTCGCTCAGTCAGCAGAGCACGAGGGTACAGTAATGGGTAATGGTTATCATACGGAATTGCACACTTATTCAGAGAGAGAGAGAAAGAGTTCTCAGGTAATACACTGTAGTCTAGCATGAAACTAATCCCGTACTAGTCCGTAGGAAACTAGAAAGGCAGCAGCTTTTATAGGGTGAGTAAGTAAGTTAGCCTATGGTCAGGGGATACGTAGAGCAGAGAGAAGTAAGAAGAAAGGTCAAACTACAAGGTACATGATTGTGTGGGCAGAAGAATGGGAAAGGTCGGGACATGGCACCTGTGCAAGAGGAATACGTTGTAGAGGAAGAACTGAATAGAAGGGTGTACAATACATCGTATACATGTAGGCGTGCAATAATACCAGGAGGACAACTGTTGAAAGGGGCATTAGGATGTATGGACAGCTGTTAGTGTAGATAACTAAAAGTGCGGCTGAAAGTGAAATGCATCAAAAGGTCTCCAGTGTGCTATCTAACTCTAAGGTCAACCTCGAAAGTGAGTGGGAACAATACATGAATACAGCGCATAGTATAGTATTAGTAGTGCATGTAAAAGAGGATAGAAGGTGAGGCTGGTGTAACAAGTCAAGTACATGTGCATGTCATAATAATGTATGTATTCCTATCTAACATAGCCCTCCCCTTTGCGGGCGCATGTCCTCATGCGAAGAAAAGTAAGAGGGGACATGTACATGTACATGCATTGCAGCAAACAGAAAAGTACAAGGCAGTACTAGCAGTATAACTATAAGACAATGGCATGAAGAAAGAAAAAGAATGAGTAGCGGGCGGGGGTGGGGTACTTCATAGGGAGTGGGTGTGATGAGGAATGATGAGTGTGTGTAGAAGAGCTGGATTGTTGTAAGGAACTGGCCGTATGATTGTATTGTACTTTGTAGCTGT